CAGCTCCTTATCAAATCAAAAACATTTCCATCAACTCTGTGGTCCAGGTGCCAATTCCCGCCTCCTTCACAGGGAATCACTTGCTAGATCCTATCAATCCAGCGTATCATTTCAATGCCTTTTCTCCTTTTCCTTGCATGTTTGTTCTTGCCACAAACTCTGCATTTGCCTCTAGAAAGGCTGTCTTAGTGCAGTGAATAGAAGCACCTGTCCTTGATTTCCTGCAATATGGAGATCTCAATGCAGAGAATTAAAAAAGAAAAGAAACGGAAGGAAGAGTGTGGAGGCAGAAGCCCCATCGTTGTATATAATTTGTAGCCAATAAAAGATCTTTATTATTTTTCCATGGTCTAAGGTTCTAGGAGTCATAAACGGTCGCTCACATAATGAGGGAAAAGCAGAAAGTTATGTAACTGCTGGCAGTGGAGATTTTAACAAGTGATAGGATGAGACGGTGTGTGAAAAAGCGTAAGCACAGTGGCCCTTCATAAGTGCGTAAAAATTGGTGGATATCACTGTTAACTATGTTAGAGGAAAATAACGAATAAAAAAAAGAAACCATAAAAAAGAAAGGAAGAATAGCAAGCATCAGTAATTCTATCAATTAAAAATGTTGGCCAGACACAATGTCTCAAGCCTGTAATCCCAGCACTTTGGGAGGCTGAGGCGAGTGGGTCATGAGGTCAGGAGTTCAAGACTAGCCTGGCCAATATGGTGAAACCCCATCCCTACTAAAAATACAAAAATTAGACGGGCGTGGTGGCATGTGCCTATAGTCTCAGCTACTCAGGAGGCTGAAACAGAAGAATCACTTGAACCCGGGAGGCAGAGATTGTAGTGAGCCAAGATTGTGCCACTACACTCCAGCCTGCATGACAGAGCAAGACTCTGTCTCAAAAAAGTAAAAATAAAAATGTAATAATAAGCCAGCATTTACCTGTCCCTTTCTATTTCATGTTATTTCTACATAAGAATATTTTAATGCATTGTAGTTTGTTGGATATTAGATCCTATATCAATTACAATTTATATTTCTGAATCTTAGAAAATATATTGTATACAGTAGGCAGCAGTAGGTAATAACAAAAGAAATTATAATCACTAATAAAATTGATTTACACTCAAAATTGTTTATTAGTGATGAGCATACATCTTGCTTACTCCTCTTCAGAGTAAGGCAGAAGATTCAAAACAGAAAAGGTCAGAATATCACTTTGCTCTGCTGGCAGATGTATAGGAGTATGTTTGAATATTTGACTTATTGTGTTTCATGTGTTAACTTCCAGATAAGGGAATATGTTTGAATAATTTATTATTTTGAAAAAACAGATATTATAAAGTCATGTTCATAATGGTGAGGAAGTCAGATTCTATATCAATCAGAAAACAAACTTCTTAATATTCACACCAGTGGCAGCTTCCTAGAAATCATTTTACTACTCTGTTAGTAATGGGGTCTTGCATTCACATTATACATTATTCTTTCTCTTTTCAGTCTTGCTAGCCACCCTAATTATCCATTTGCTGATGAATATTAACATGGAAGGCTTTGCCTGATGTCTACCAGAAACAGTGTGTGTGGATGCTGACCCAGAGGACGTCTCTATTCCAGTGACTAGACACATCCCCTCTACTTAAATCCATCCTGCTTAGCAACTTCAGTCAACTAGAGCTAAGTCCATAGGCTGGAAAGACAATAAATATTCATCATTTTGAAATAATTGAATATTTTCACAAAGATTCTTTACCTACTCTGTTCTCTGTTCTCTGTTCAGTGTGTGTGTGTGTGTTTTCTTCTGGCTCAATAGAGCCAAAAACTAGTTTGTCTATAAGTTAGGAGTAGGAGTGTGAGAATAATAACCATTTATAGACATTACTGTAGTGGACTGTAGTGTGACTGCAGTAGAGTTTTCAGCCTCTAGAGAAGGAGCAAGTGACAGATGTTGATCAGTTAGTGCCTGTCTAGCTCTTTTAGGAAAAATACACATAGCATGGACATATGTGCGTGTGTGTGTGTGTGTGTGTGTGTGTGTGAGACTCATATTCTTTTAGGAAAAGTACACATAGCATGGACATATATGTGTGCGTGTGTGTGTGTGTGTGTGTGTGTATGTGTGTGTGTATGGCTCATATTCTTTTAGGAAAAGTACACATAGCATGGACTCATATGTGTGTGTGTATATATATATATATGAGTTTACTGAGCATGAATCCACATGATCACAAGGTCCTACAACAGGCCATCTGCAGGCTGAGAAGCAAGGAGAGGCAGTCCAAGTTCCAAAACGGAAGAACCTGGAGTGCGACGTTCCAGGGCAGGAAGCACCCAGCACAGGAGACAGATGTAGACTGCAAGGCTAGGCCAGTCTCTCCTGTCACGTTTTTCTGCCTGATTATACTCTAGCCATGCTAACAGCTGATTAGATTGTGCCCACCCAGATTAATGGTGGGTCTGCCTTTCTCAGCCACTGACTCAAGTGTTAATCTATTTTCGCCACACCCCCAGAGACACACCAAGGATCAATACTTTGTATCCTTCGATCCAATCAAGTTGACATTCAGAATTAACCATCACAAGTCCACCCTTTGTCAACTTAAACCCTTATACATCTCCTGAGATCATAATATTCAAATAAATGCAATACTAAGGTCATAATTACACCTAACATAATACAATTATCCTTCCTACAATGGGAAGGCACTAATTCCCACCCCAAATACTATAAAGTTAACAAAAATGCTGATGTGAAGTCAACAACTCTTTTGTCACATGATAAAGGAGAAAGGAAATAAAATGAAGATATTTTCTTAGTACAAGTGTATACATGCACAAATACATTTTTAACAAAAGAAGGAGAAAATACTCACGACCCAGTCCTTGTTTCTGCAGCTGGTCACACGGTCACAGCTAGAATTGATGACTACCTTCCACCCATCATTATGTTCTTGCATATCAGATATATCCTTGTATACCTGATATGCAAGCACCTCACCAGGTTTTTTTTGTTTTGTTTTGTTTTGTTTTTTTCCCTGGTGGAGTGACCCAAACCTTTATTCTTGAAGGGCCTGGGTCACTTGGAGTCCTGCCTGGATTGGGCTGTTGTAGCTTCCCATTGACCTTAACCACAGGGCGTGGTAACACTAGGTGACGTCCTAATGGATCTCCTGTGTTCCATGCATTCTCTTCCTTACCTTGCCGTGGAGCAAACAGTGAGGGAGCTGACTTGAGCTGCCCTCGGATAACAAGACCTATTAATACATTTGGCTCCAGGCTGGTCTTCAACCATAGAAAATACTGGTTCATGAACATATGAGAAGAAACATATCCACCCCCAATTAAGGTCCCCTGAAGCAAGCCAGGACCTGGGGTGGGATTGATAGCCTACAGGTTGTCTCCAATTTGGAAAGCTTTGTCACAAATGGTATGTCTGTGATTATCAGGTATTAAGATCACCCACTTAGGACATGCTGGTTCTAGGTGTGTGGAGAAATTAGACTGTCTTAGTCCATTTGTGTTGCTATAAAGGAATACCTGAAGCTGAGTGTTTATAAAGAAGAGGTTTATTGGCTCACAGTCTGCTGGCTGTACAGGAGGCATGGTACTGGCATCCATTAGGCCTTTGGTGAGGGCTTCAGGCTGCTTCCACTCATGGCAGAAGGGAAAGGAAAGCCAGCATGTGCTGAGGTCACAGAGTGAGAGAGGAAAGCAAGGTGCTATGCTTTTCCTAACAAGCAGCTATCAAAAAAGTAATAAAGCCAGAATTCACTTGTTACTATAGGGAGAACACCAAGTCATTCATGAGAAATCTGCCCCCACGACCCTAATGACTTCACTAGGCCTCACCTCCTTACACTGAGAATTCAGTATATGGTTGGGAGGGTCACAGATGCCAGCTATAGCATTCTGCCCCCAATCCATAAATTCATGTTCTTCTCACATGCAAAATGTAATCATTTCATCCCAATATTTCCCAAAAGTTGTAACTTGGTCCAGCACCAACTTAAAATACCAAAGTACAAAAATTCCTATCAGACTCAAAGCAACTTCCTGCTAGTTATGAGCCTATGAAGTCAAAAACAAGTTATTTACTTTCAAAGTACAACCATGTTATCAGCCGTGGGTAAACATTCCTTTTTCAAAAAGGAAGGTAATTTTAAAAAGGCAGGAGTAGGGACAGGGAAACAGGACTCATGGAAATCAGAATTCCAGCAAGGCAGACATCAAACCTTAAAGCTCCAAGATAATTTCCATTAACTTTATGCATCCTGGGCACCTGGTGCAAGGGGTCAGCTCTCAAGCATTTGGGCAGCCCTGTCCCCATGGCTTTGCTGAGCACAGCCCATGTGGCTGCTGTCACAGACTGGAATTCAGTGCCTGTGGCTTTTCCAGGCAGAAGTTTCAAGCTACTGATGACTCTGTGATTCTGGGGTCTGAAGGGCTGTGGTCCTGCTCCCACGTCTCCACTAGGCAGGAACCACATGGAGACTTCTGCTGGGGCAGGGACATGAAGATAGACCAGGTTTGAGTCATTATTACGTATTTGTTATTAGTGTGTTAATTTTTCTTTTTTCACATAAATTAAGACAGGCTTAATTTATGCCTGTCTAGTCTAATGGGTAAGTGGGCTCAAGTATAGGACCCAGGCACTGGTAGTGAGGGCATAAAAAAAAAAAAGTGGATTCACAATAGAGCAGACATAGGCAGTGTTACTTACAGATGGACTTTCTGTTGGGTCAGAAATAGAGCCCTGGAGGAAACCTATGGTCTCCAGGCTACAGTGAATCTCCTGTTTCATCCCATGCCTGAATTAAGGACTGTCTTCCTGATGTAGGAAAGATGTGTTCCTCTATTTCTGTGTCTGCTACATAAAACAGTCTGTAAAAGAATCTGCAAGTATCACTTACAATTGTAACTTAGCATGTTGGAGATTTCTGTTGAGGCTTTTACGTCCTCTGGAATCAACTCAAAGTCAAAAACCTGAAAGGCAGGCGATACTCACATTAACGTTTCCCCAGGACAGCGGCTTCCGCCTGGGAATCCAAGGACTTCGCAGGAGACAGAGGCAAGGATGGCATTAGGGGAGGTATTTCCATCCTCATCAGTTTCCAGGTGCGCCTGGCCTGGAATCTCTTCCACCTGAGCTCCGCCTCTTCTCCATCCCACCTCCTTCTACTCTGCACCAATTCTCAAAAGAAAAGTGTACACTCATCAATCTAAAATATTTCTAGAGAACTGCTTGAGACAGAAAAAAGAAATCACTTGTTTTAAAATAGAAAAGAAAGTGTGGACACAATACTTACCACCTGGACTTGACCACACTTGGTCAGGCTCTTGTTTCCCCACTTCCCCTGGAACTCAATCCAGTTGTAGACTTAGACTGAACAAGCCTTGAACAACAGGACAGTCCCACTCAGTAATCTGCCCCATAAAAAGCATTTCCTGATCAACTCTTCTGCTTGCTCACCTCAGGACCCCTCAATACTGTCCATTTGCAGCTGTGTTTGCTTGTCCTTACAAAAAATGTTTTCTGATCGATCTTTGAGATACATAGATGTCATGCTCAGAGTTCTACCCTTTGAATAAATTTCTTTTACTTATGTCTAGGTTGGTTTTCACTTGTCAACACATAGCCCCTGATGGGAAGTCCTTTCATAGCAAAATAGAGAGATATTTGGTAAAAAAATAAAATAAAATAAAATGCTAAGTTTATTATGTGATCCAGGAGACAATTTCATGAAAGACTCAGATCATCTGCCTATGTATCATCTATCTATCTATCCATCCATTATCATCATCTGTTTCTGTATTTCTCTCTATACATATCTGTTCATTTTCTATCTATCTACTCACCAATTTATCCATTATTCTTCTTAAAAATGTATTTCAGAAATGATATGATTGTCAAAGGAGCAGCCCCTAATGGGAAGTCCTTTAATAGCAAAACAGAGATATCTTGGTAAAAAAAATACTAAGTTCATTATGTGGTCCAGAAGACAATTTCATGAAAGGCTAAGATAATCTGCCTATTATCTATCTATCTATCTATCCATCATCCATCCGTCCATCTACTATCATCATCTATTTCTCTCTATATATGTCTATTTTCTACATATTCACCCACCAATTTATCCATTATTCCTTTAAATAATGTACTTCAGAAGTTATATGGTTGTCATGGGAGCAGGTATTAACATGTGTTTAACTGAAAAATAAAATGTAATCTGTGTGGTTTAACAATGAGATTTAGATTTGCCAATTAAATTTTTCCACAAATGAATATACTTGCTCTATAACTAAAATGTTTTGAAGTAAATACATTACAAATAATATGTTCCAAATGTCATATTTTATAAATATGAAACTCATGATAAAATTTGTAGCTGTCATCTCAAAATGAAAAATAGCTTACATGGCTTTTCAAAATTCTTGTGGGATTCAAAACAAAATAAGTTGGAGACCTGTGATTAATATAAGGCCCAGAGTGTATATGGGGAGAGGTTTAGGAAATAACTCATTGTATATGTTAATTTGGTAAGGCTATGAACTTATACCTGGTTTCCTCTCTGCTAGGGGAAAGGTGATAAAAGATGACCCAGAAAGAGTCACTGCATTTAGGGTCTCACCATCCAGAGAGCACACTGATATATTAGCAAACAGCAGGCAATTAATAAAAAAAAAATTCACTAAGCAGAGCTGTTCTATGTATTATTATGGTGAAAAAATGTGGTGGGTGGTTTGAATGGTTAAACAAAGCAGCTTATCTTACTTGGGTTTGATCTTAAAATACAAATAGGAGTCTGTTGGGCAGAGAAGGTGAATGGGAGAACCCAGGGCCCTTAAATTTATTACCATGTAGAAGAACTCCTAAAACTGATTAAAATAACAGAGTTGAAATTTGCTTAGTGTCACGTACCTAGTAAGTGGCAAAGCCAAGCACAGAGGTGACAAACCTTAGGACTCTGAGTCCAGTGCTCTCTCTTCTCACCCTTCCAAGCTGCCTCCATCCGTAGCACACAGGGGAGAGAAGCATGAGAATGAATGGAACACAGTGTATGCTTCCATGCAAGAGAGATCACCAGGACAGCACCCACGGCTCACTCTGAAGAAACACTACTGGTCTCATACCTGAAGGTCATCTTGCATTCTCTTCTCAGAGAAGCTCTTGGCCAGAACCAACGATGCCGCTAAGCTGGTTGACCTGGTCTGGGCTTCGACTGCATTTCTTGGCAATGGCTTTCAAGACTGGCTCCTCAAAGAGCTGTGGACTGTCGCAATTTAGCCTGAAAAATACAGCCACACACATACATATACACAGATAGAAAGGATGTAGAATGGAAAATGTAAAGTCTGCTGTCCCTTTTCCTGAACCTCTCTGGAGAACTGAGAGGAACTGGTACAAGGTAGCATGATTACAAACAGTTTAATAAATATTCGTAGAAAGTTATTCACATTGCAGCAAACTGGGAACAAGTAAATCGTCCAGCAACAGGTGAATGGATGCACAATTTGTAGTATAGTTGTCCATATAATGAAATATTACCAGCAATAAAACGAAAAGAACTACAGATATTGCAATTACACGAATGTATCTCACAAACATGGTGAGCAAAAGATGCCTGATTAAATATAATATGCATTAAGTCTTTCATAGAAAATTTTAGAGCAAACAAAACTAAGATTTTTTTTAAAAATAGCCGCCTAGAGGTGAAGAGTTGTTTTCTCAGAAGAAACAAAAAAAATAACTTTTTTTGAGTGACAGAAGGTTTCCAACATAGTAAAATCCATCTCTACAACAAATAAAATAAAAATCAGCGAGGTGTGGTGGCATGTAATTGTGGCCTCAGCTACTTGGGGGGCTGAGGCAGGAGGATTATTTGAGCCTGAAATGTCAAGGCTGCAGTGAGCTGTGATTGTGCTACTGTACTCTAGTCTGAGCAACAGAGTGAGACACCTACTCAAAAAAGGAAGGAAGGAAGGAAGGAAAGAAGGGAGGGAGGGAGGGAGGGAAAGAAAGAGAAAGGAAAGAAGAAAGAAAGAAAGTGAGAAAGAAAGAAAGAGAAAGAAATAGAAAAGAAAAGAAAAAGGGAGAGAAAGAAACAAAAGAAAGAGGGAAAGATTCTTCAGCATGTTAGGGATGTGGGTTATATAGTACATCCGTCAAAATTGTACAGCATTACAGCTTATGCAAATTTTACATTAAAATCACTTTAAATATTATAGTTGGAGTGGGGTTGGGAGTAGACAGATGTGTAGACGACACAAGAAGGAAAGAATATGGGAGACACTGAAGCTCAGTGGTGTTTCATGAAAACCAACTATAATATTGTTTTTACTTTTTTGACTTCGTTCATCATAGAATTTAAAAACTTAATTTTTATAAGAATTTTTCATCATCAGTAGAATACCGCTATGGGTTAAGTCTGATGTTCTTGTTACCACCTGGGTCTCTGTGGGACACCAGGGCCCTGGAGGCAACTCAAACAGAGTCCTTGGACTTGCAGAAGTGCAGGTGTTTGCTCTGGGGTAACTATGGGTGACATTGCACCTGCAATTTTCCAAGACCAAATGTACAAGAATAAATGAGCCAGTAACCATATGCAAATTTAAATAATGCTTTGAAGGAATATGTAATACTACATTAGTATGTGTACTATTTATTACAGATTGATCAGTTTTCTTATGCACCTCCTAAAATATTTTTGAATCCCATCATTTGGCATACTGATACAATAAATTAATATTTCCTTTTCAGCTTTTATTTTAGGTTCAAGGTATACATCTGAAGTTTTGTTATCTGGGTAAATTGTGTGTCACTGGGGTTTGGTGAACAAATGATTTTGTCACCCAGATATGGAGCATAGTATTCACTAGGTAATTTTTTGACCCTTGTCCTCCTTCTACCATCTGCCCTAAAGAGAACCCACTGAGTATTATTCCTCCTTTTATGTCTATATGTACTCAGTGTTTGGCTCCCACTGATGAGTGAGAATGTGTAGTATTTGGTTTTCTGTTCCTGTGTTAATTTGCTTAAGATAATGACTTCCAGATGCATTGACGTTGCTGTAGAGGGCATTATTTCATTCTGTTTTATGAATGTGTAGTATTTCTTGGTGTATATGTGCCATATTTTCTTTATTCAGTCCACTGTAAATGGGAATTTAGGTTGATTCCATATCTCTATGAGTATGAATAGTGCTGCAATGAACACATATGTGCATGTGTCTTTTTGGTAAAACAACTTATATTCCTTTGGGTACATATCAAGTACTGGGATTCCTGGATTAAATGGTAGCTCTGTTTTAAGTTATTTGAGAAATCGCCAGGCTGCTTCCCACAATGGCTGAACTAATTTACATTGCCATCAGCATTGTAGAAGTATTCTCTTTTCTCCATAACTTTGCCGACATCTGATATTTTCTGACTTTTTAAGTTTATTACAGATTCTAGATGTTAGACCTTTGTCAGATGCATAGTTTGCAAACATTTTTTCACTTTCTGTAGGTTGTTTACTCTGTTGAAAGTTTCTTTTGCTGTGCATAAGCTCTTTAGTTTAATTAAGTCTCACTTGTCTATTTTAATTTTTGTAACAATTACTTTTGGAGAGTTCATCATTAAATTTTGCCAAGGCCTATGTCCAGAATGCTATGTCTTAGAATTTCTTCTGGGCTTTGTATAGTTTTGAGCCTTATATTTAAGTCTTTAATCCATCTCGAATTGATTTTTGTAAGAAAGAAGTTGAGTTTCACTCTTCTGAATATGGCTAACCGTTATCCCCACACCATTTTTTGAATAGGGAGTCCTTTCCCCACTGTTTGGTATTTTCAACTTTGTTGAAGATCAGATGATTGTAGATGTACAGCTCTATTTCTGGGTTCTGTAACCTATTCCATCAGTCTCTATGTCTGTTTCTGTACCAATACCATGCTGTGTTGGTTACAGCAGCCTTGTAGTATAGATTGAAGTTGGGTAGTGTGATGCCTCTGGTTCATTTTTCTCCCCACCTTGGGGTTCCTTGGGTATTCAGGCCCTTTTTTTTGTTCCATATAAATTTTAGAATGGTTTTTTTTCTAATTCTTTTAAAATGGTGTTGACGGTTTGGCAGAAATAGCATTAAATCTGTAAATTGCTTTGGGTAGTATTGTCATTTTAACAATATTGAATCTTCGTATCCATGAGCTGGGATTTTTTTTGCATTTGTTTGTGTCATCTCTAATTTCTTTCAGCTGTTGTTTGTTAATTCTTATCAGAGCTCTTTGACTTCCCTGGTTAGCTGTATCCCTGGATATTTTGTGGCTATTGTCAATAAAATTGTATTTTTTTTTATTCTGAGTTGGTGTCTCTCTCTGCTGCCTCGGCTAGAGTGCAGCAGGGGCATGATCTCAGCTCACTGCAACCTCTGCTTTCCATGTTCAAGTGATTCTCCCACCTCAGCCTCCCAAGAAGCTGGGACTATAGGCCTGCATTACCGTGCTTGGCTATTTTTTAAAATATTTTTGTAAATCCAGGGTTTTGCCATGTCACCCAAGCTGGTCTTGAATTACTGGACTCAAGCGATCTGCCTGCACTGGCCTCCCAAAATGCTGGAATTAGAAGTTTGAGCCACTGCCGCTGGCCAGATTGTACTCTTGATTTAGCTCTCAGCTTGGACATTATGTATAGAGCTGCTACTGATTTTTGTACTTGATTGATTTTGAGCTGCTTGATTTTGTATATTGAAACTTTACGAAAGTTGTTTATCAGTTTCAGAAACCTTTGGGCAGAGATGGAGTTTCTTGGTATAGAATCATATCCACCATCTGTTAATACAGATGGCTTGCCTTCCTCTCTTCCCACTTGGATGCCTTTTGTTTTTTCTCTTGCAGGCTTGCTCTGGCTAAGATTTCAGTATAGTAGCCATGGTGAGAGTAGACTTCCTTGTCTTGTTCTGGTTCTTATGAGGAATGCTTCTAGTTTTTACCGATTCATTGTGATGTTGGCTGTGGGTTTGTCATAGACGGCTCTTATCATGTGGAGGCATGTTCCTGCGATGCTTTGTTTGTCGAAGGCGTTTAATATAGAGAGATGTTGAATTTTATGGTAAGGCTTTTCTGCGTCTATTGAGATAACCATCGGGGTTTTGTTTTTAGTTCTGTATATGTGATGAATCACGGTTAATGATTTTTGTATATTGAACTAAACTTGCATCCCGGGAAGAAAGCCCAGTTTGTCGTGGTAGATGACCTTTTTGTTGTGCTGCTGGATTCAATTTGCTGGTATTTTACTGAGGATGTCTTGGTCTATATTCATCAGGGATATTGGCCTGAAATCTTATTTTCTGCTTCTAGAGGAGGAGCAAGTGACAGGTATTTATCAGCTAGTCTGTGTTTAGCTCTTTGAGAAAGGAGAAAACTAACAGCACAGAGTCTGGAAGGTGAGCCATATTGACAGGATGCCCTTCCAGCATCACAAGAATCAGAGCTCCAGGAACCTGGGGAGGAAAACTCCACCCACTCTCACCTCAAAAATGTCTACACAATGGTTGTTATCATCATACACTCCCTGCCCAAACTTGCAGGCAAATTGCATTTTTTGGCCCTCATGAACCAAAAGGAAAAGAAACATACAAGTAACAGAGAAAGGAGCAGGAAAAAAATCTTTAGGAAAAACATTCAATTATTTGAAGATGATAAAAATTTATTGTGTTTGCTTTCTGGCCTATGGATTTATATCTTCTAGCTAACTGAAGTTGCTAAGTGGGATGGATTTAGACAGAGGCGGTATGTCCAGTCACCAGCATAGAGGCATCCTCTGCATCACCATCCACAGGCAGCCTTCTGCTACATGTCATGCAATGCCCTCCATGTTAATTTTCATCTGAAAATGGATAATTATGGTGGCCTGCAAGACTGAAAAGAGAAAAAATAGTACATAATAGGGATGAAATGACTCTAATACTACAGTGGTAGTGAAGTGATTTCTATGAAACTGTCATTTAGTGTGAATGTTAAGAAGTTTATTTTCTGACTAGTTATAGAATATTTCTTACTTTTATAAACATAAGTTTATAATATGGGCTTTCTCCAAAATAATAAATTCTTCAAATTATATTCTCTTTCCTAGAATTTGTCACATAAACTACACAGGGTCAATTGTTCAAACATAGTCTTCCATATCTGTCAACAGAGCAAAGAGATATTCTGACCTTTCTATTTCAAATTCTCAGTGAAAACAGGAATTCATCCTGCATTATTTTGAATAGAAGCAAGCCAGCTATATGTTCATCGTATAAAAAATTTTGAGTGTTAAATGTTATTTCTATTTCAAATTCTCAACAAAAACAGGAACTCATTCTGTGTTATTCTGAATAAAAGCAAGCCAGCTGTATGTTCATCCTTATTAAGAAGTTTGAGTGTTAAACGTGATTGATGGCAATCACACATCTTTTAAGACATATTCTTTCCTTTTTTTTTTTTTTTTTGCCTTTTACATTATGCTACAGAATAAAAGATTCATTCCTTACTGATTGGCTGCTTACCATAAGGAAAATATTTTCTTTGATTCAGATATGTAAATTGTCATATATGCTATGGTGTTCCATATCCTAAATTCTACAATATGCTAAGGACAATCTTCAAGTGAAAATCATACAAAATATAGTGATGAAAGATGATGAATAAACCAATTGTTAATGTTAAATAATTAATTGATGATGATAATTACCTATGTTTACTACTCTTCCTTTCCATTTCATGATTTCCTATTTCATTTTTATTTTTCTCTAAACTAATAAAAATATAAACAATGATATATCCAAAAATATTTGAGTTCTTATGATGTGCTGCTGTGCTTACCCTTTTTAATACATTCTTTCATCATGTCTATTACCTGTTAATATCTCCACTGCAAGCAGTGACATGACTTGTTTTACCCTCATCACATGAATTGCTTTTCTGTGAATCCTAGAAGCTTGGAGCATGTAGAAAGAGTAAGATCTTTTGTCAACTATACGTTATCTCCAAAATGGAGCTTTAGTCTCTAACTCTTCCCTTGATTTTTAATCTCTCTTCCCTAAAAGTTCTTTATACTTTGCATTGAGATTTCTATATTGCAAAAACTCAAAGCCAAGAGTTCTATTGCCCACTAAGGGCAAACTTTCTGGAAGCAAAATAGTTTTTGGGTCATGAGCAAATGTCTAAAGAGAAGAGAGAAAGAGATTTGAAATGATTAAAGATTCTGTATTGACATGATCTTGTGAGCAATTCCATATGGAAGACATGAGAATTTCTGACATGAATCTCAAGTTTGATTGAAAGATTTTTATCTGATAAAGAACTGAGCCGATTTGGAAGAACATCTAATCAGGCCACATGGGCAATAACCACAGTTTGTCCACTAGGCCATAGCAAAATGCCAGTCCTACATAAAAGGCACAGACTCAGCAATGATATTGGCTGCTCTGGAAAGCTTCATGAATTCAAGAGAGCAGAGGCATAGGTTGACCCATGCTGACCCTCGGCCTACTCACCCTGCCAGAGAACAGAGCTCTGGAGTGAATCCAGGAGAAGAGTTCCAGAAAGCTCCTGGCTTACCCCTCACGCACACTGGCCTCTGTCTTGATAATATTGAGGTAACATTTAAATGCCATCTGACATTTCTCTTCCAAAAATGAATTAGCCAACCCATTTACCAAAGTTACTTACTAATCTAAGACAACATATCGATAATTTCTGTTTAAGCCATCTAGAACTTTCATATCTGCTGAAGACAACTGGAATTCAGAAACCTGTCAAAGAAGCAGAAAACTTTTATTGTTAGATTGCACAACTGTCAATTTGAAATAGCCAAGTATATCAGACAGTAGGGTGGAGAGGCAATACTTATCAGGTAAAATAAACGTAAATCTATTTCTAGGTATCATACATTAAAACTGCACAACACTGCAGAGAAAGAGAAGATACCAACAGAAACTAGAGATAGAATGAAGTTGACCTTGTGTGCATGTGATTGGTTCACGTATTTTAGGAAGATTCAGAAGAATGTAGTGGGAAATTTTGAAACATAATTTAGACAGTTTGATGGTGATGCAATTTGGGTATTTGTCCCCTCCTAATCTCATGTTGAAATGTGACCCCCAGTGATGGAAGCGGGTGTTGGGGGAGGTGTTTATGTCATGGGGACATCCCTGATGAATGGCTGGGCAGCCTTAACCATGGTCATGACTGAGGGTTCACTGTATTCGTTTATATGAAATCTGGTATAAAAGAGTCTGACATGTCTCTCTTCCTTTTCTCTCTTGCTCCCACTCTTGCTATTTGATGTGCTTGCTCCTCTGTCACCTTCTATCATGAGTAAATGTTTCCGGAGGCCTCACCAGAACCAAATGCTGGTGTCATGTTTTTTGTGCAGTCTGGAAAATGGTAAGCCAAATGAACCTTCTTTCTGTATATTTTATCCCCCTCTCAGGTTTTTCTTTATAGCAGTTCAAAATGGACTAATACAGAAAATTGGTACCCGGAGTGGGACACTACTAAATAAAATAATAAAAACCTGAAAATGTAACAGTGGCTTTAGAACTAAGTAAAGAGCACCATTTGGAAGCGTCTGGAGGGCTCAGAAAAAGACATGCGAAGATAAGGAGTAGGTTGGGACTTGTTAGACATCGGCTTAAGTGATTGTGACCAAAATGCTGCTAAAATTATGAACCATTAAGTCTAAGCTAACAAGGTCTTAATTGAGAAACTTGCTAGAAACTGGAACAAAGATTACCCTTATTATACCTTAGGAAAGAACTTGGCTGCATTGTGTTCATGTCTGAAAACATTGAGGAAGTCTGAACTTAAGAGTGATAACTTAGGGTATATGGTGGGAGAAATTTCTAAGCAGCAAAGCTTTCAAGAAGTAGTGTGGCCACTTCTAACAGCCTGTGATCAGATGTGGGAGCAAGGAATGACTTAAATTGGAAGTTAAAGCTTCCTGAAACTGCTCCAGAATGAGATGCTGGTGCTAAGCTTTTTGTACAGCCTGCAAATTGTGAGCCAAAGATACCTCTTTTGTGTATAAACTACCCAGCATGAAGTATCCCTTTACAGCAGCACAAAACAGACTAATGCAGATGAATAGTGTTGGACTCTGTATTTCTCTATCTGTCCACATGACACAAACAGCTCCCACCAGGCCTCACTTTCTTCACTGAGGATCCCATTTCAACATGAGATTAGGAGGGGGCAAATATCTAAATTGTATCAGGGACAAATATCTAAATTGTATCACCATTGAATTGTTTAAATTTTAAGTTTGGCCGGGCATGGTGGCTCACGCCTGTAATCCCAGCACTTTGGGAGACCGAGGCAGGAGGATCATGAGGTCAGGAGATCGAGACCATGCTGGCTAACACAGTGAAACCCCATCTCTACTAAAAAAAAATTAGCTGAGCATGGTGGCACGTGCCTGTAGTCCCAGCTACTTGGGAGGCTGAGACAGGAGAATTGCTTGAACTCAGGAGGTGGAGGTTGCAGTGAGCCGAGAGCGTGCCATTGCATTCCAGCCTGGGTGACAGAGTGAGACTCCATCTCAAAAAAATAAATAAATAAAATAAATTAGAAAAAAAAATTGTAAGTTTCAAATTTCCCTCTAGATTCTTCTGAATCTTCTAAGTACATGAACCAATTATGTGTACACAAGGTCAACTTCTTTCCATCTTTAGTTTCTGTTGAGAGCTTCTCTTTCTCTGCAGTGTTATGCAGTTTCACATCAGATATTGAAATACTGAAATCCAAATATATTCATCTGTATTTCCATCTCCATCTTCAATGGACAAGTACAATGTGAAAAAAAAAATAGTTTTCAAAAAATTCCAGACAGTAATTGTCCAAATACTAATAATGCCATGTTTAGAGAATACAACTACTTGTTTGAAGAGGATCTCACTACTCAGAGATAATTTATCAAAACGATGTCACTAATTGTTAACATATAACACTAAATAACTTAATAAATGTATTGGAATACTCTGAAATAACGATACAGAGAATGAGAGGTAGAGAGAGAATAAAAACATCATCAATTTAACAATTGATGAATCTAGGGAAGAGGCATTTATTGTGATTATTCTTAGGACATTTTCATAAATTAGACAATTCTTAAAGGAAAAAGTTATCCAAAGGCTGTTAAAAATAAGTTCTCTATGAATGAATGTAGGAAAGCATACACAAAGGCCTTACTAAAGAAATCTATGTAACTAATTGAAGTGTATATTAAAATACCACTTAACTGATTATTCATATAATAATCATTAATTGGAAATTGCAATATTGTTAATAACTCAGTTCTCACCAAATTGATCTGAAGTTTCATAGCAATTTCAGCCAAACACCAAAATATTAACCTTTTTGTTGAAGTTGATACTACTAAATGTTATATAACAGAACACGCATTCAAGACTAGCCAAGACATTATTATATAAGAGAATATGTCAGAAAAATACTTGTACCATTCTGGTGGCAAGACTTTCTATTCAACATAATTTAGACAATACAGAAATGTTAATAAGTCACTTCAAAAGAGGAGAAATGCCAGAGAAATGCTTACAGACATTGTTTATGACAGGATGAATAATCAAGATATGTGAGCAAATATGGACTTTTCAATAATTGTAAGACATTTTATTATCAATTAAAAATTATGTATATGCACATTTGCATTCTTATTTTGTATAATATTAAAAAATCAATTCCATTTGAATATTTCAATTTATAAGGAAAATATATCAATTTTATAAGATATTAAAAGAACATAGTGTATTATTTTACTATATATTAATATGTAATATATACTATTTTACTATACAATTATGTAGTAAAATATCATCATGTTTTAAATATAGAAAAATACATCATATTTATCAACTACAGGAAAAAGGCATGAAGAATTTGACTACAATAAGAGTAGTTAGAAAATTTATTTTGTTTAAAAAACCATGAAAAGAATCAATACTCGGGTATATTTTGGGAGTTGTTATTTCAACAATACATCAAAATCTCTAAGGAACTAATATCCAGGAGATATATATATAATCATAAAGTATATGCTAGAATAGTTAGAAGGATGCCCTCCAATACTTCCCATGTCCCTGAATCCACTTGCTTGATTATATGAACTTCAAGCATCTCCTAATAAAAAGTGGTGTGTCTGTTTCCCAATCCCTTGAGTCTGGTCTGTCCTATAACTTGCATTTGCTGATAGAATTTTCCAGAAGAAATGGTGTGGCAACTCTGAGCGTAGACCTGGAAAGGCTTTGCATGTGTCCACTCACTGCCTTGTGCTGAGGTGAAGCCTGGTCTGGATGACTGGGGGACGAAGACCTTCATGGAGGAGAAGGAGGCACCTAGACAGATGCCCCACGGTTATCCTGAGGCAAAACTGCCTCACTGCCCTGCACACACATGAGAGCCCAGCCACGAACAAAAGGACTGGACTGAGTTTAGGCAGAACTTAGGCTAAATTTCAAATCACAGAATTGTTAGCTAAATACATGGTTTTGTATTAAACCTCTATGTTGAGGGGATTTTCTTTCCTAACTCTACTTATTAGTATAATTATGGTCTTCTACACATAGAAAAAGACAAGCAACCTAATAAAAATACCCAAAGATGTCAACAGGCACTACTATGAAGGAAACTCTAAGAGAATACATATATGAAATTTATACTGAGTAAATAAAGACATGAAAAAAAAATTGCAATGATTTGGAGACTAGAGAACACCTAACCCAACTCCTCATTTCAAAAAATGAAGAAAAGCAGATATCCCTAGCACAGGGATGCAGAATAAACTTCCAACTTAATGCTGAAACTCAAATCTCTGGTTTTGGTTATATCCTGATTCTCTTCATCCATGCTGCCTCTCCTGTGGTGGAGTAGAAAACCCTTAGGATGCACACAAAGCATTTCTGCATAGGAAATGCCTGGAAAATGGACTTAGTCCAAGGGTGTCCTGAGAGCCTTATGAGAAGCACATGTGTGAAGGACACAGTGCAGGAGCCCCGATGCCCACAGCCCCGCTCCTCACCTGCACGTTCTCTCTGATCCGCTGCTCATTGTAGCTCTTGGCCAGGACCACAACCCCACGCTGCAGCTGGTAGCGCAGGGCAATCAGGGCTGGGGATCGTTTGTGCTTCTTTGCCAAGGCACAAAGAACTGGGTCCTCCAAAAGAACTGGGGAGTTCGGATCCACCCTGGAAGGAAAGGCAGAAGTGCTGAAGCCCTGAGGCTGGATTCAGTTTGGTAGAAGGCTCCCTAAACAGACTAACATGTTCATTCTACACGGGACCTCCTCACCTGGGATCTCGTCAGAAATGCAAATTCTCCCCTTACCCTGACTCACTGAGAGTGAATTCCAGGAAACAGTATCATATAATTAAAACGTTCCATCAAAATGATGTTTTAAGTAAACTTCCTGTTGCTTTTATTACCATAGTTCATGTCTTTGGGTTCCCAGAGCACTATGGGCAACCAGAACAATGTCTTTTGGCTTGCAGAAATCCAGCAGTTTGCTCTGGTTGAGATAAGGATGACATTCCACCTGCAGATGATCAAGATAGGAAAACATCAGATAATATGAAACAGCTATGGTAATATAAAAAAGATTAGAAGTTAAAGTAAAAGAAGGTGAATAAATAACGCATAACATCAAAGATGAACCGAGAATATTACTGTTAAGTAATGATCTTTTTCATCAAAATAAATTTTACATTGCTGTTTCCTAAAAGTATAAATAGAAATGTCATTTCTGAGCACAAGTAACTCCATAAACCAGATCTGGTATCTAACTACATTTGACCACTGGAAGTGCACATGGCCAATTCCAGGTCTGCTATAGGGTAGGATTCTGAGCTTTGGACATCAAATTGTGCCAGAAAATAAGAATTTCTTCAAAGACTCATGAGGGCAGGGTTAAAAGACAAAAGAAGTAGTCTTATAGGAATCTCACTGGTAATGTTTCTATAGATTTGAACATCAAAAACAATAATGAGTAAAATCAATCATAAATTATAGCAAAAACAATTCATGGGTTCATAGTGATGAGTGGTGAAGAGAAAGAGCAAAAATTTTTGTCTCCATTTACGGTGATTTTTGCAGTAATTTCTTTCTAGGACATGAATAATTAAAGGGAAATAGTTAAGCTTTTAGCATGACTGAGAGGAATAATTGTTTCCTTTCTTGACTTGGTGAGTAATTTTTTTTCATAATAAAATGTAAAGTCAGAATAATAAAACTGGTAGTTAAAATTGAAAGTAATTGCTTTAAAGCCCCAAAGAAAGAGCAAATACAATAATAAAATAATAATACAATACAAAAACTTAAAACATCATTGATGTACACACAATCCTTATGTGGAAATTTGTTGTGGAATGTATCTTCCCCTCTTGATAATTATCACCAGGCAGATTACCAGGAAATACAAAGGGGAAAACACATCTCTAGGAAGATTAGATCTGGCTACCATTAATTTAACAAAGTGATCAAAATTAACTTCACTAATTGTGTAGCAATCTGTTATTTCATGCTGTCTACTGTAATTTCATGGATACAGCAAGGTAGAGATAGTTTATCACCAAAAATGTTTAACCTCGATGATATAAAGCATTCAAGTATAACTTCTAATTTATGGAAACTTACTTTCTGAAAACTTGAAAAAACAAGTTAACTGATCAAAATACAAGATGAAAGTCCCAATTGGATTTGGGGTTTTTTTGGTTTTCATGATACACCTTACATTTATTTAACATCTCTCATTGTTTTATAATTTTCTCTGTAGAGATTGTATACATCTTTTGTTAGGTATAATTTCTGTATTTAGTATCTTTTTATATTATATAGTACCTTTAAATTTTTTCATCTGCTGTTATGATTAAAAATAAGAGGTTCTAAAAGACCTTTCAAGAAAACAATGGAAATCTCAATACATATGGAGTATTAAATGATCTGAGGGTATTGCTGTTACTTCCTTAGACATAATAATTGCACTGTTACTGGGAGAATATCTTCATTCCTATGTCAGCTTTGAAAGGTCTATAGAGGTGCATTGTGATCATTACAATTTGCATTGAAGAAACTCAACAAACACTACATGCAGGCATATATACTCACATATATATGCCTATATATTTGTCAGGTTGGCAAAGTGTCAACAATTTTGGATATAGATGGTAATGTGGATGTCCTGTATTATCCCTTCAAATTTTTCACAAATTTGAAAATTATCACAATAAAAAATAAAGTTAATATTAAGCCCACATTAATTTCTTAACTTTTTAATTAAAAATTATGATTTTGTATTGTTATGTTACCAAATACATAAATTTTAAGCACTACATATTTCAACTCTAGACCTGTACTCATTGACTCTAAGTTGTAAAAATGTAAGTTAGAAAACGGAACTATACACAGAAGAGATGTGACTAAGCAGTTGATTTGATGACAGAAGGCAAAGAGGAACATCAGAATAAGATGTGGACCAACACAAGGTGAGCTCAATGTTCTGCTAAATTTTCCTGTGTTGATTTTATCCATCATAACTAGTTATCTCCATGAACAGGTAACTTCCTTTTTGTCACTCTTTAAAGTTTTATTTCACAAACTTGGCATCAAACTTCCACAGTTGTGTTCTGGTCAATTTCCTATACTTGCTTGACTTTCCAACATGATAGTACAAAATATTTGTGGGCAAGGGAGAAGAGATGACGTCAAGCATCATTGCATTTACGCATCTTCCACAAAGCCACACAGTTAAGCATCTGATTCTCCACCAAGACGAAGATTTAGTAGCACCCAGGAAGGCATACCGGAAAACCAGGCCATAGTTCCATTTATCAAAATCAAACCAGAGAAAATCTATTCCACATTTATATATAATGCATTAATATTCATATTTTCTTTTTCTGTTACTGCAACAGTTTTCTTCTTTTAAATATTATATCTTGGAGTTTACCAAGTTCTTCCTTTATTTCATGTCCTATGATTGCACAGATAGACTGCAAATGCCAAGGAATTGATGAGCTCAGTTCAACCGTTGCTAACAATTTCTCAATTTCTGAGAGAGACAAGTCCCTCAAGTCTAGTTTCTTAGCACCCATACATACAGAGACATCTTGATTTTCTTATATACTAGTTATTTAATAAAGCTCAGTTTTGGATTTCCCCTCGCTTTCATCACCAACAGAGTCCACAACAAACACAATGCCATCTGTGCATCTGGTATGAGTTCTACAGCGTCACTCATTTCTCCTGGCCACCTACATCCCAGGAGTGAAAAGTGACTGTCTTAGAATCTCCCAAGGTTATCTTCATTTTCTCAGTGGTAAAGCCTTTGGTAGGTACGGTATTTACAAATTTATTGAATAGCAGTCTGAATAAGACACTTGTTCTATCAGGACAGTCCAAACACCAAATCACAATGTGGAAGGACTGAAATGAACACAGGCTGAACAGGACAGTAGTTTTGGCGGATAGTCCATTCCCCATTTCCAGCTGCAAATGTGTTCCAAATTGAAATGCTTTCTGTTTTTGTGCTTTAGAACTTCTCTTCCTAGGTGATTCCACTGTAAGACTCCATATTGGAGTCTGAGTCTAAATGAGGCAACATTGGCAGGCTTTTCTATACGAGTCAGGGGTGGGGGTAGCTCCCCATGTCCTTTCAGCTTATCTCTCCAGGGAGCTCTCATAAACAGGTGACTTCCTCTTAACTTAGGTGACTTTCATTGTTTCCAGTTAACTTTTTGTACATATTCAATAACTGTGAAAGGAGAGATACCAAGAAAAGGCATTCAAACATCTAAACTCCATTTAAACCCATAGTACCTATCTTCTCTTATTCTCACACTCCTTATTTACTGCTTATTCAATGTTTTCATGGCCTCTATAATCATACACAGTTTGCTCCAAATCATCTTTATGCAGCCACTATCTGGTGGTCTTTCAGAGCTGAGACAAGTCCACCTTCTCCCTGCGTTCTGATTATTTCAGTCCTCCTTTATAAAATTTATATCCCAAAATGTTACACACAATTCAGCATGAAGGTCTCTGTACCTTTTTCACTAAGACTTCTCGAAGGAGAGGTACAATTAAGGGCCTTCCATGTTCTTCTACACAGAGGCTTTGCTTTCTAGAATCTTCCATTTCACAAAGGTAAGTAGAACAGCACAAATAGAAGCCAGGCAGCAGGACAGGAAGATGGGCATTGCGATGAGAAAGAAGAGGCTGAGGGTGCTTACCTGGTTGCAGACGGGCTTGTACTTGAGCCCTGGCTTGTTGAGGATCATCTCCAGCTGCCTGCAGTTGAAGTTGGACACCCCGATGGACTTGGCCAATCCTGCGTCCTTACACTTCTCCATGGCCTGGGGAGAAAGAGGTTGTGAGGAATTATTTGTGCACATGACTGCAGATTATGATAAATGCAAGACAGACCTGTTAACAACTGTTAAGAGATGACAATGAAAATCGCAGTGATTCTCAGGAGAAAAATTACAACAGATAACAGAAAAGGATAGCGACAGCAACAGGAAGAATTTCTGTGTCCTCTTGAGGAAACTGGAGAGGTAAATACACATGGAGGATGGGGAATACCTGTCTTCCTTGTCCCCAGTTTATCTCCTTCATTTCTCTCTATTCTGTTTCAGTCATGTGTTCTTCCCTACCACTCAGCAAAACTTCCTTTGTCAAGCTCCTTAGTTTCTAGATCCAATGGTGCATGTTCCATTCTCACACATGGAAGCTGGAAGCAGGTTGACCCCTTCTCGTCTTCCTTTTCTGTGCTCCGTCCTCCAAGCACTCACCTCCCATGTGGCACAGAGATCCACTGTGTCGAATTTTACTTTTCCATTTTCATCTTTTGGCATTAGGTCCTCACTTGGCTGAAGTAGAAATAGTCATTTTAATTATGTCACAATTTAACTTCTCCAGCCACAGGCATGCTCCCAGGTATGTTTTAGGATAATACTCTGCCATGAGATAGGTGCTGCAACGTTCTAGAAAATGATGTGCACAAAATGTTTCACACATGGAACTTTAAGGAATGTCTGTAGGAGACAGGCTTCCCTTAATCTCCTACTTCTATTATATGTATTAATACATAACCATTTTACGGGATCTAATGGGGTTTCACAGATGACTTTTGTCTGTTCTCATAATTTCTTCTGGGGAAACGCCTCTCATTAACCAGAAAAGCCCTTGATAATCCAGCAATACAGAACTGTACTTTAGACCCAGGTGACCCAATAAGAGCTTCTTACCCCCGAAAACTTGATAGTCGATGGGCAGGATTATAAACTGAACATGGTCAAATGGAAGTTCTTTTCCATATTAATAGGAAAGTGGTAAGACCGAGAGAGGCTATCTTATGTTAATCACCATGAGCCTTTAGCTGTTTCAAAGCTATCATTGACACCAATGAAAAAGGCTGGGAAAAAAATCCAGAAATCCTCTTGGAGTGCATAGATAATGATGGAGAAAAGGCTACATTTATAGAGGCTGTGTCAAATTTCTACATGTAGCCATGGCAGTGACTACCCAATTGCATCATGCAATAAACTCTTTTAAATAAATCACCCTCAGTTATTTTCTATAAATTTAAATTGAAAGTTATACACAACACAGAAATCCATGACTAAGCAAAGCTGCAAACTCCACTGTGAAAGAATCATCACTCAAAAAGGCAAGGATTCTCAGATCCCAATGAAGGTTTCCAGTTTAAGACTCACCCAGAGTGAGTTCCACCAAATCTATTTCTGCTTAAAATGAGGAGAGATGATGGAAACTCACTGTGCACTGCCTGTGCAGTAGCTTTTTGGACACCACAGCTGCATGGATTTCTGTATCTGTGAACTTCCTAAGAGATGGACTCAGGAACCCAATTAAGATACAGCCTTGAAGGTGGCTATTGTTGTTTTCTTGAGTTTTTGAGGCAGAGGCTTTGAGGTTGATGTACTATCGTCTGTTGTCATTATACATTAGAGAAGGAAGGTTTCATTATGTATTCAATAAAACAGGGGTTAGGCATTATACTTAGGACTCTGCTCCCATGTAATAATACCTGCACCCTCCTAAGAAGCAGCTTCATTCAACCATCATCGTAAAGGATGGTCATGCTGACAACAGAAGAGAAAGGAGTTTGATCCCATAAATTGCCTACCTTGAGAGCCACTGGGAAATGAATAAGATAGAGATCAACATAGTCCAGCTGAAGTTTTTTCAGTGAGTTTTCCAAGGCTGATTGGACCAACTCAGGTCGATGGAAAGTGCACCAAAGCTGCAGAGTAAAATAAAGGATTTGTGCTGAATAAAAACATGAGCCAATTATATTAGTTTGCTCCACCTAGTATTTAGACATTTTTCCACTGCTTAAAAACTGATGACCACTAGCCAGAAATATTTGCTTTGTTGTTGTGTTTTCTTTTGATATGAACTGTCCATCCAAGTGCTACTGTCTATTGCATATATAGTTAGCACCATTGCTGAACAATGGAATTAAAATTTTCAATAGGTAAAAATTTATATCAAGTAATAATTATGTTCATTACCTGACTTATGTTTGATAGAATTTATAAAACACTCAAATAGTCTATTTTCTCATTCTTTGAACCCAATGGATGATGATAAATATTCCTGTTGTTTAGAAACTAAAGAGAATAACATTTAACATGATGACATTTGCTGAACACCATTCAAAACACTTTAGTTATATGTCGTTAATACTTATAGGGCTCTCTTATGCTGTGCCCTCCCCCAGCACACACACATTGATGAAAAGGACAGTTGAGATTCAGAATAATAAGATATTGATGAACATCATCCAGGACATAAGAAAAACTGTAATATGATTATAGTTCTCTATGAGTCTATAGTCTATGCATAATTATCCTGATCTGAGGGGTTTTTTCCAAGATTGTAAATTGGAGGCAGTCTTAGCACGTCTCTCCCACTTGGAAAGACAGAATAGTGTGTAGAAATTGACACCGCAAACTTTTTTCAAAGAAGCAATGCAGGAACTTAACAGGAAAATTGAAAGAATTCACGACCCTTTGAAAGAAGTGGTAGACTGCAGCCTACACTGTGAGACAGATGAAAAACTGTAAGTGCCCAGAGTGTGAGAAGGGGAGAAACTGCCTCCAGAATCCCTTTCCCACCACGGAATCTGAAAATCCAGGCCATGGGGAAGGCATTAACCCTACCCAGACCCAGAACTGATTTAGGGAGAGGTGAGAAATAAAGTAGAAGCAGCAGTGGCAAGTACCTCAGAGGCATTCCCAATGTCCAGCATGGACTGAGGGAAGCCGTTTCTTATTTTATCTCATAGAGGACCTCAGTGAAGTCAGCCAACTAGTTCAGGCAGGGGTTGCAGATTGAAAGTAGCTCCCAATTGAATTTCACGATATTATTCTGAGAGGGGATGAACTCCTTTGGCTAGAACCCTGGGGTCAAGCAAGAAGTGTGCTGCAGATACAAAGGCAGAAGCCTGGTGCTCAGTCTTGCAGGTGGATGGGGAGGGGTATAGCTTCAAAGCCATAGTTGCTATCTCCACAGAAAAACTTTTGGCCCAGAGCAGTTCTGAGTTCTGAGCACAGGCTGCCTGGAACTTGGTTCAGTGCCCTTAGTATCTGCACTCCAGCAGCCTGGGCAACAGAGCACTGTGGAACTGAGGTCTGCCTTTCAAACTGTGGGATCTCAATGAGGCTTACTGCCACCTGCTAGCCCCACTCCCTATGTGAAAGCTTCTGTGAAGCAGAGGCAGTTATACTCCCCTCTGGAACGTTACCTCAGTGGCCTAAGAACCATCTCCTGGCCCTCACAGCAGCTGTGGCTGGCTCCACCCCAGGAGAGTCAGCTGTGGCTGGCTCCACCCCAGGAGAGTCTAACCCTGACACAACCTGGTTGTGCCCCTCCACCCACCCTGGTAGATTAACACAAAGGACATAAACTTTTGGGAACTCTATGACCCTGCCTGTCACCTGAGAAGCCAAAATACCTCCCTAGGGCAACATAGGGCAAGCTCAACTCTCACAGCTTAGGTATTCTTTTGCAAGTGCCATCTCTTGGCTGGAGGCCAACCAACACAGTCCATTACATCATCCCTAGGTGGAATGACACTGCACCCAGAAAGAAGAAAACTTGTTTGTAATCTCAGCTGTCCCCATTACCTGCAACTACCTGGCTAACTAGAAATCCTGAGTCTGTCCGTGAGACATAGTCACTACTATTATAACCAGCATTTGAGAAAGCCAGCACAAAATGACTATCTGTAACCAAGGAATCTCACAGAGTCTACATCACTTCCCTGACACCCTCACGAGAGCTGGCACTGATACCCATTGCCAGGAAACATGAAGACAGGTCACATCATGAGAACTCTTGCCAATATTCCCCAGTGCTAGCCCACAGTGGGGCAACCCCACTAGGTGGCTACACCTAGAAGAGCAATAGCAATCAATCACTGTAGTCTGGCTCTCAGGATCTTCTACTCCTAGTGTAATGGGAAGAGCATCACGTGGAGAGAACATCTCTTAAGACAAAAAAATCCAGATAGCAGGACTTGAGTTCCAGATCTTTACACTGGTGGTAAGTTTCTTTCAGCAGAGTGCTAGATTCAGTAGGGAAAGTCTAAACCTCTACTAACAACTGTCAAGTGGCCGTAATGCTCGTGAAGAGTGTTGGAGAAGGGGTCTTATCTCCCCTCTCGTCCATCAATGCAGACATAGCAGGGCTTCTAAAGAAGCTCTGTATGGGTACACCTATATATACAACTTTCCTGGAGCACTTTAGAATGACTGCATCCTCACAGAGGAGTGCTCCCTAGGTTCAGGCTTGCATTAGAGAGATTCACAATTTCTCCCTACTTGGAACATCAGCATTTCTACAGATGAAAAGAGGTACCTATCTGATCTCAATATCCATAACACTGGGACAGGGAGGGGTGAGACTGGGAGGTGCCTAGCTTTCCTGTCTGCCTGGCATGGGAGCTGAGGTAGCTTCCACCCTTTACCTTGATAAGATAGCAAATCCAGTTGAGAGCTCCCCCAACCACATTGGGTACTGTATTTATCCACATGCTTTAGCTACAAGTGGTTTCTATCCACCTCAACTGGCCTGGGGTGGTATCCCCAAGTAGGGGATACTCAATAAATAAAACAAACTCAATAAATAAAATACTGGAAAAAATTGAATAGATAAAAAAGTGCACACAACAGAAGAAGGAGATAAGCTTCAAGGGACCGCTGCTATTCCAACCCCATAGGAGACAGTGAACTTGCCCACACACTGAGTATGTGGCCAGCATCTGAGTATACAACCAGCATCTAAGGAAGCCATGATACAAAGACTCTATAACCAAGATACTCGTATGTCTTCACACCTAATAGCACTAAGAACCCAATTAGGCTATTATAAACTGTAAACATTAAAGTCAGATCCTTAAAAGGTAAAAAAGAGGTTAAAGAAAAACAGGAATATCAAAAATAAATTCAAGAAAAAATAGAAATAGTCTGTCAAAATGGGAAGGCAACAGAAAAGTAATTACGGTAATATGACAAAACAATATTTTGTCACCCAAAAACCCTAGGGTCACCCAAATCACCTCCAAAAGATCACAGTAGCTCCCCAACAATGGATCTAAACCAAGATAAAATATTTGAAATACCAGATAATGAATTCAGAGGGTTCATTATTAAGCTACTCAAGGAGATATCACAGAAAGATGAAAAAACAACCTAAAAAATTTTTTAAAAACACAATTCAGGATATAAATGAAAAGTTTTCCAGAGAGATATTACAAAGAAAAACCAATCAGAACTTCTGGAAATGAAAGACACACTTAGGGAAATACCAAATGCAGAAAGTTTTAGCAATAAACTAGAACAAGTAAAGAATTTCAGAGCTCAGAAATAAGAGTTTTGAATTCACTCAATCAGACGATGATAAAGATGAAAGATCAGACTGGACAGGTGGCTCACACCTGTAATCCTAGCACTTTAGGAGGCCAAGGTGGGCGAATCACTTGAGGTCAGGAGTTCAAGGCCAGCCTGCCAACATGGCAAAACCCAGTCTCTACTAAAAATACAAAAATTAGCTCAGCTTGGTGGCATGTGCCTGTAATCACAGCTATTCAGGATCCTGAGGCAGGAGAATAGCTTTAACCTGGGAGGCAGAGGTTGTAGCAGTGAGCCAAGATCACGCACCTGCACCATTTGATCCATTAATCCCACTACTGGCATCTACCATAAAGAAAAGAAGACATTATATGAAAAGGCACATGCACACACATGTGTACAGCAGTGCAATTCACAATTGCAAAAATATAAAACCAACCTAAGTGTCCATTGACCAATACATGAATAATGAAAATGTGTTATGTATACATCACACAATGGTGTATATGTAAAAAGGAAATAATGTCTTTTGTAGCAACTTGGATGGAGTTTAAGGCCATTATTCTAAGTAATTCAGGAATAGAAAACCAAATACCATATGTTCTCACCTGTAAGTGGAAACTAAGCTATGAGGATGTAAAGACATACAGGTGATATAATGATCTTTCAGGACTCAATGTTGGGGGAGGTTGGGAGTCAGATGAATGAAAAACACCTGCATATTGAGTACAGTGTCCACTGATCATCTGACCAGCTCGCTTAAATCTCAGAATCATCACTGTAATATTCATTCATGTAACCAAAATCCACTTGTACCAAAAAAGCCATTGAAATTTAAAAATTAATGTATTTAAAAAATACTGACCTGAGCTGAGGCTCAAAAAAGTAAAGTGATTTTCAAGTAATAAATTTGAACACAACAATGATGAGAAAGACACCATCGTTGCCTCCTTTTAGTTTTAATACATGAATATGTGTGAATAAACTGGAACCAATACGCACAATTCACCCACAACTACAGATCCAGTTACAGAATTGTCATCTCTACAAAAATCACATTAAATGCATGTGCACACAAGCTCATCATAGGTAGAGTACCTTTGAAGTGTAGAATATGTCTTCTCTCTTTACACTGCCGTCTGCAATCTTGCTTCGGATAGCCAGTCCAACCTGCTCCTCATTACTGTAAACGTATGCAGAATCAAAATGGCGGAAACCAGCTTCTATTGCTAATTTGATGACCTCCACAACTCTGTTCCTAGGAATCTGGAAGAGCAATGAAAAGTAGTGTTTGGTGATTAATGTGATCAACAGGTAGTTCAGGCACAAGCAATGACTTTCACAAAAATCGCAGTATTCTTGTATCTTGGGTTAGTATTATATATATGGAGTGATAAACCCATCCCACTTTGCTTTAGTCTTTCCTGCTTAGTAATAAAGGTTGGATATCCTGGGCCTTTTCAGTCCCAGGGGATTCCTGGTTGATTACTAGCATGGAGTTTCCCAAGAACAACCTCATATTCAGTCATTTGTTGCACAAATTAATAATACTCAAATTATAGTTATAAATATAATTCTTATTGTTACTATTATTATTAGAGACAGAGTCTCACTCTGTCACCCAGGTTGGAGTATAGTGGCACAATCTTGGCTCACTGAAAACCCTGCACCCCCCACCCCCCTAATCCCCCATGCCCTTCATCTCAGGCTGAAGCAATCCTGTCACTTCAGCCTCCCAAATAGCTAGGACCACAGATGGGCGCTGCCATAATGCCGGTTAAATTTTTGTATTTTTGGTAGGTATGGGGTGTTGCTATGTTGCCCAGGCTCAAACTCCTGAACTCAACGGATCCACCTGCCTCGGCCTCCCAAAGTGCTGGGATTACAGGTGTGAGTCGCCACAAAAATCCCCCTAATTATTTTTAATATCATAAAATTAACACATGGAAGAAGGCACATGGAAGGAACTACAGGAAGAATACAGCGTAAGTTCCTATGATTCGCCTCTCAGTGATGCTGCACAAAACACACTGACTTCCTCCAGCATCACATTTGATAACACAGGGGAAATGTCTACAAGGGATGCTATTTGGATACTCGATCCCCAAGATTTTAACTAGGTGCTGGTTATAATGACCCAGTCTGTATAGCACACACCAAACTTCCAGTCTTGTAAAGAAAGCAGGTATACAGAAACCCCACACATGGTACAAGGAGTTAATTACAGACACTACTCTTATTAGTCAGGAAATGAAGAGGAATTCTAAGATACCAGCCAGGTTCCAACTTTGAAAACACCGGCGTCTATGGGTGACACTCTATAGTGTTGACTCTTTACACAGCCATTAGCCATTCTGTCTGCACGACAGAACTAAGTACAGGGAGTAAGGACATATACTCCAAGTACATAGACTTATACATGAGAAATTAACTGCAAGCTGTAAGGGAATAGTAAAGTATGCTTCAGTCTTAAAAAATAAGGCCAACTTTTTTTAGAAAAGATATAATTTCAGGGAAATTTAAAATTATTGACTTATCTACCAAATTTGGATAAAGATTTGAAAGGTACCTTTTTTAAACAACAAAGCCATACATAGAACAATTTTCTATTTTAATATGAGTATTTCAGAAGCTTTCTATTTCCAATAATATTAAAAAGAACCAGATGTCAGGTCTCGCTGCCTTCGCCTGATACCAGCCCTGATCTCTTTGCTGTGCAGGCACTCAAGTTTACCAAGGCTGGAGCTTCAGTGCTGTGATTTCCTGACTTCCCCTTCATGCCAATTGCATTACAAAGTAAACTGCTTGGGCTGATGGTCTTCAAGACGTCTCTCTGTAAATTCTTACAATGTACAGTTGAGAAAAGTAAGACAAATTTTATGTGATTAGCCCCTATTCACATACTTAGTAGCCTCGGAATACAAGTTTTCTTCCTGGGGAGAAATAGTTCAGTCTAGAAAAGTCTAGAAAAAGTCTCCGTTTTGCCCACTTGTGTGTCAGAGGACAACCCCTATCATTTTTATGCAAATCTAATGCATATTAACATGTACCAAAAATTCAAAATTTCTCTTGTGAGGTTCTCGTTTTTTCTTAAAATAAGGTTATTTATCCTGCGACATAATTTTCCTAGAGGTGAGAGAAGTACAGGGTATTGTAGTAAGTCCAGGACCAGAATTACTGTGTCACGCTCGAGGCTAAGCAGCAGCTCAGCAATTCTCTCGCAACAGTTTTTATGCACCCCGTTTTTACACACTGTTGCCACAAATGTTTCTTTTGATCATGTCTAGTGGAAGAATAAAATGTTTCTTCAATTGTAGAAATAAATGGAGAAGCCATTCTCACTGCAGTCATCTCCTAGAAAGGGAACTGCCAGTCAACATCCTTCACTGTTGAGTTCTACATATTCTGCCAAGTTGGGCAATACACAGAAACAGAAGAAGAAAAGAACAGAAACAGAAGAAAAAAAAAACAGTATACAAAATAAAAATCAGCAGTAGATTACCATATGACAACGTGAATGCAAAACAAACATTGACTACCTTTTCTATTTGAACATAGAATAGCTCTAGCCTAGTAAAACAGACCATATAAGTCACGCAGAGTAACAGAAACACAAAGCTGAACAACTCAGGTCATCACCCACTTATTCTAGCTTTGCTCTTTTAAATGCTCAACACTGAAAATACGATTATTACCTCTGGAGGTGCATAGGTACCAAATCCCAAAACAGGCATGAAGTTACCATCATTTAGCTTCACACGCTGACATGTGGGATCCATTGCATGTCACTGCCTTCGTTAAGCAGACCTGTTTCCTTTTCGACATCTGATATTTGTCTTCACGGGTTATGTAAGCAATAGGCATAGGTTATATAAACATGGGCTTATATTGATGGGTTACATAAATACGGGTTATAAAAACAATTATTGACTTACATATCAAATTTAAATAAAGATTTGAAAGGTGTATTTTTTAGATGACAAAACCATAAATGAAACAATTTTCTATTTTTCCAGTGAAGTTAAAAGGAACTAGATGCCAGATCTCAGGTCTCACTGTCTTCCCCGATACCAGCCTTGACCTTTTCTTCGCTGTGCAAGTGCTCAAGTTTACCAAGGCTAGATCTTCAGTGCTGTGCTTTTCCTCACTTCCCCTTCATGCCAATTTGCATTACGAAGTGAACCGCTCCTACTGAGGGTCTTCAAGGTGTTTCTCTGTAACTCTTACAATGTATAGTTGAGCAAACGGAGACACAAATTTTATGTGACTAGTCCTTATTAACACACTTAGTCTTGGCATACAAGTTTTCTTTCAGTGTAGCAATAGCTCAGTCTAGAAAATTAAGTCTCCATTTTGCCCACTTCCATGTCAGAGGACCACCGCTCTCATTTTTATACAAATCTGATGCATATTAACACAACCCAAACGCTGCCCTGGTCACTGTCTGGGGCTGATTAATGTCATGTAGCCTAGGAAACAAGTGACAGGACATTACAAAGGCTGTAAAGAAGACTGAATCCAGTTCACTTGTTTCTTATCAAAGAGAATTTTTAAGTACATTACTATATAGTCAAAATGAACTATTATTTCTAAAGTAAATTTTTCTATTCAGAATATGTCTAAATATCTATTTATCTATCTAATAAACTCATCCAACAGACTTGTAGAATGATTAGTGATCATATGTTAGAGTATAAAATACTTAACGGCTATAAATCTCATTTTTGTTCATACCATGACAATATCCGATCTTTATCTTGTGTCATTTGAAATAATCAACCATCTTACATCTTTCCCTCACACAGGCAGCATTCAAAAGAATGACTAGTGAGTATTTTTTAACATGGTGGCTCTCAGTGAAGAAATTAAACAAAGCCAAAGAAAATTTCTCTTTTTACTTTTCTGTCAGAAAATTAATTTTGTTTCTTCTTTCTTTTAATTATAGTAGAAATATTCATTCCCAATGAAGGTGGAGTCACGGTGATGTGGCAATCCTGCAAGGGTTCAAAGGGAAAAGGAAACAGAAATTCTGACATGATGTTTATCTCAGTATTAATCATTAAAAATGTTTGGACTTTTGGCATCATCTGCAATATGCAAACACTGCTTTAATTGTATTTGTATTTTCCATCCAGTTTTATAAGAAACCAGCAAAAGTAACTTCTCAAAAAACCAATAACTATTTATATAATTTATGATCTTGTTAAATATTATTCATAAAGAAAAAAGTAATTAAACTCATACATTCTTACGTGGCATAATTTTATTTGTGTCTCCCTTTGGAGGACAGATTAGAACATGATCAGGCCAGTGGTGGTGGCTCATGCCTGTAATCCCAGCACTTTGGGAGGCCGAGGCGGTTGGAGTACTTGAGGTCAGGAGTTTGAGACCAATTATGGCCAAAATGGTGAAACCCTGTTTCTACTAAAAATACTAGTTCAGAACTAGAATATTATTCCTAGCCAAAATTTACATTTTTATGTCTTTTTATAATTTTTTATTAAAAACATATTTTACTGTTTTTATATATTTTGCATGTGAATTTATTTATAGTAGTCCCAATTATATGTCATAGTGGTAATCTTTAGTAATCTTTAGTATAAAACCTGGTAAGTTGTTTTAATTATGTATTAAATAAAGTCTGACTTTTTCTACTATAGTTACAGGTGTGGTTATTTCCATATGTCCTCAGGTCTTGTGTAGTAGGCAATCTAACAGTTTTTAAAGGTCAAAGAAGTAGTTTGCAATCTTAAAATACTTAGTAAGTTTAGTATATGACTTGTATAATTTAGACCACATATTTATATCTTGAAGACGTTTGTCTTTTACCAACACTTTTTAAAACTTTTTATTTTTTAAAGATTAAAGTCATGTGAACTAAGACGCATTATAGCTTTCACTTTTCCTTCAAAATATTTGGTGGGTTTTTTTTTAGGTCAATTAATTAGAGTTCTTTTTTTTATAGATGTCACATGCATAACATATATGTGACTATGTAGCCAGAAGAAGATCTAGCAGTTGTGAGATTTTCTGTTTGTCAATCTTCTAACTGGATTATTGATCTCAGTGTGAAAATTCAGACAGAAATGTTAAATTCCCCTTTAACATTTCTAGGAAATCACAAAAACAGTACCTATTTGAATTACACTCCTGATTACTATAACACCTGCTGAGTTTACCCAACAGGAATGTATCCACGGTTTGTAAAAATGCTATAACATTGTATACAAAGAAGCAATAGAAGACATGACAGCCATCAAAAGAAAGGAGGAAAATGAAGTAGGAAATGCTGGAAGTTCTGGTACCAACGCCCTGACAGGCCGTTGAGAACTGGAGTTAGTCCAGGGGCCTTCAGGTAACATTGAGGTGTAGCCTCCGCCAAAAATTTTCAGTTGTCTTAGGGCATCTTTTCAGCTGCATGTGACAGCAAGGGCTTCCGTGAAAGGAAATTGGAGTGGAACAGAGTTAACATTCCAAATACCTGAGGATGATGGGGATTGAAAAAGTCCTCTTCGGGAAGCCTGTCCCCTGAGTCTTGTAAGGCTGGCAGCCGCCCTGTTCACTGATAGGAACCCAGTGTTTCATTTGCTCTTAATAGAAAAAAAAAAAAAAAAAAAAAAAAACGGAAATGAAAGTAAATCGTTTGGAGGTCAGCTCCTGCTTACCCTTCCCATGAATCCCATTCCCAGCCCATGCACCAAAAATATTTTACAGTCTCACCAATGTATCAAAAATGTAGGGGTCTCTAGTGAGGTATCAGCCAAAGTTTTTTTGACTTACAACCAAGAAAATTAAGGAATGTGGACACAAAGGGTGAGGTTAGAACGAAAAGTTTAACAAGTGAAAGAAGAAAGCTCCCTGTAGTAGAGAGGGGGCCCGAATGGGTTGTCAACTGTGAGGTTGGGTCTGCGGTGTTTTTAACTGGGAAGGGAAGGAATGTGTTGACAGGACTTGGAGAAAGGTTACTCAGCTTTGCCTTGGACCTAGGCCCAGGACCAATTAGAGACTGAAAGGAAAGTTTTGTCCAGGACATTCATCCGAGCCTGGGAGCAATCACAGGCTGAAGCGATGATTCTTAGAGGCTCAGCTCACAGTCAAAAGCATGTCCAAAAACGGATAGGAAAGTGCCCACCGGAACCCACCACAGCCAACAGTGTACATGTCCACAGAAGGAGGAGAGACGATTTTCTAGAAACCTGCTGGTTATACAAAGAACAAAGGCATTTCCGTGCTGGGTCTTGTTCTCTTATTAGTGTAGTTGTGGGCATGCCTTATGTACCCCTCAGCCCAACAAAAAAGAGGTACCTAGGATAGCACATATGGCACAGCTGGGCTCCTTTGGGCTTCACTGATCCAGCCTCTCATTACAGTGGACATTGGCTTAGCACATCGGATGTCCTCACTATCTGAGTCATTATATTCAGTGCTGTCCTCCACACCCCTCCGCACCAGCTTTTCCTTGGCAAACAAAATAAATTCCAACTTCAGGTATCTGTAGGCACAGATATATTTTTGGCTGAGATAGAAAGGTCTTTAAAAGTCTAATCTGAGATTCTTTTAAATAGCTTCAGCAAAGCCAATTTATAAAAAATATTTAGGAATATACCTCATCAGGGACTCAAAGGAACCTCTACAAGGAACACTATAAAAACTACTGAATGAAATCATAGATGACATGAACAAATGGAAACACATCTCCAGCTCATGGATGGGTAGAATCAATATTGTGAAAATGACCATACTGCCAAAGGCAATCTACAAATGTAATGCAATCGCCATCAAAATACCACCATCATTCTGCATAGAATTAGAAAAAAATGATTCTAAAATGTATATGGAACCAAAAAAGAGCCTGCATAGCCAAAGCAAGACTAAACAAAAAGAACAAAGCTGGAGGCATCACACTACCTGATTTCAGTCTATACTATAAGGCCACAGTCACCAATAAGGCCACAGTCACCAAAATAGCATGGTACTGTTTTGGTACAAAAATAGGCACATAGACCAGTGGAAAAGAACAGAAAACCCAGAAATAAACCCAAATACAGCCAACTGATCTTTGACAAAGCAAACCAAACATAAAGTGGGTAAAAAAAAAACCACCTTTTTCAACAAATGGTTCTGGAATAACTGGTGAGCGACAGGTAGGAGAATGAGACTGGGTCCTCATCTCTCACCTTATAAAAAAAATCAACTCAAGATAAATTAAGGATTTAAACCTTAGACCTGAAACTACAAAAATTCTAGAAGATAACATTGGAAAAACCCTTCTAGACGTTGGCTTAGGCAAGGATTTGTGACCAAGAGCCCAAAAGTAAATGCAATAAAAGCAGAGATAAGTAGCTGGGACCTAATTAAAGTAAAGAGCTTTTGCATGGCAAAAACAGAAACAAAAACAGCAGAGTAAACAGACAACCCATAGAGTGGGTCATTATATTGAATAGTTTTCCATAACTATTCAAAAGTGTCATATAGAGACTCACTAATTTCCTGGCCTTTCATGAATTGTGGAGTATGGTAATGTGGACAGTTTACACAGCTCCAAAAACAGTTCATATTGTAAACAGTACTTTCTGTATTATTAGAAATAGAGTCTTCAGTATATTCAAGTTTGATTAGGTTAGAGTGGTCATTCCATAAACCCCAAAATGAATTCAGAAAACTCAGTATAAATTCTGTTCCTTTAGAACCACTTCTGCTGTCAAAATCAATATGGTTACAGTTCTCCAAAGAAATACAAATCTAAAATGTATACATGTAGATGTAGATATATATGACTAAATATTTATATCTAAATATATATCTAATATATGTTTATATTAGATACATATTATATATTTATATTATATATTCTAGATACATAATATATGTAATATACGTTAGATCCATATATATACACATGTATATATGTGTGTGTGTGTGTCATTTCATAGGTAAATCTATGAAATCTATCTATCTATATAAATGTAGGAGCAGGAATACATTTGAGGGATTGCCTCATTTCTGTATTGTTTTCTAAAAATTGCTACCACAAGCTGTAGAACCATGAATACCAGTGCCATGGCCTCTTCCAACTGTGAAGGCCTGAAATCAGGGGAGTCACCAAAGTATCCTCCAGTCTAAGACTGAAAGCCTGAGAAGCTGGGGGCCACTGGTGAAAGATCTAGAGTTCAAAGATCAGAAGGCCTGGAATTCTGATATTCAGGAGTAGAAAAAGATGGGTGTCCCGGCTTCGTCAGAGGGAGAGAAAGCTCACCTTTCCTCTGCTTGTTTATGAGAAACCTCAGCCAATAGAACGGTTGTTTCCCACACTGAGTGAGGGAAAATGTTTTTCAGTTGGGTTCAAATGATTCTCCTGCCTCAGCCTCCTGAGTAGCTAGGATTACAGGCATGCACCGCCATGCATGGCTAATTTTTGTCTTTTTGGTAGAGACAGAGTTTCATCATGTTGACCAGGCTGGTCTTGAACTCTTGATCTCAAGTGATCTGCTCACCTCAGCCTTCCAAAGTGCTGGGGTTATAGGTCTGAGCCAACACATCTTGGCCCAATGATTATGTTCAAATCTTCCTTCCAAAGGGAGACACAAGTAAAAATTATGGGATGTGA